GCCACGCGATATTATATATTGTTATTTTTAGAACTTCCTATGAAAACAGGCTCGTGTAATTCCAATTGTGTAATTGGAACAATTGCTAATTTCCTCGGTACTTCACCAACAATCTGACAATATTAAACCCTTACTAATTTAGGTTGTATTTTGAATCAGTAATTCCTCAAATCAAATCGTTGATTTGCGTAAATTCCATAACAAGTAGCTATCTGTGTTTCCGTCGCTATAAATGGTTTTCGCAATACTACGCGTTATTTCCAGCATAAGCCTCGTTTAAACCCTAACTATTTCAATTTTAAAGAAAAAAAATAAATGTGTACTGTGCTGTGTTAATAGATATTTTCTTTTCTGATTTAAAGTTTAGTGAGGTATTACCCATGGATATTCCGTGTTGTTGTAAAAGTACGTATATCATAGTATTCGTATTATCTTATTTGGTAATTGAATTAAAACAACAGATCGACATATGGATCACTTGGGCTAATCAAATTTCTATGCAAGCGTATTGAACTATTGAACTAATTACTTGACTTGTCAGTAATTTCCATTGTAACATAATTACATTGTGCTTTGACAGTCACCAATACTACATGTGATGGCTCACGATATTTCGAAGTTAACACTGATGAGGTGGACTGGTCTACGGCAAATGCTAGCTGCGAAGAGCGTGGTGGAAAACTGGCAAAGCTAGACACAGAGACATCAAATACATATGTTGCGAACTATATAAAGTATAATAATCTAGATGACGAGGTCAGAGGTGGCTTCTGGATTGGGTTGAACGATATTGACAATGAAGGGACGTTTGGTTGGTTGGACGGGTCAGTTCTAGAAGCTGGTGTGTACAACAACTGGGGAGGTGGTGAACCAAACAACAAATCTGATCGCCAACACTGTGTTCATTTGTGGTGAGTAAAAATAACTTTGTTTACTCGACAGTCAAGCATTAACTTCAAAACAAAACAATAAATCTGGCACAAACCGACAAGGTGATATTATTTTGCAAATTTAGTGAATTTAAAATCGAAATTTAATTTTGACATATTGATTAATTTCATTGCAGGAAGAAACGTGCATTTCAATGGTATGATGCTTATTGTACAAGCAACAAAGGATACATCTGTGAATACAGTAAGTGTGACCATTATTATTTATATGTAACATGCACATACATATGAGCGATAATAACAGGTCTTGTTATCAGCATATTAAATTTCAATGAATAATTCCAGACCGATCATAAACGGTTGAGAAAAATATAATGTTTTCGAAATATAAAAAAAATATAATCTTAATGCTCTTCGTTCTCTGAAACCATTACATACAGTAATGTAAAATATCTTGTGTCGTTTACAATCATTTGATATAAACTCGCTTAGTAATTGAATACATTCTGCTCTTGTTACAGACGCCCTGTGTGAATAACATAGTGCTTGTATAGTTTCGATCAATGCATGGACGAAAAGTATAGTTCGAATATTAAATATACGGAAACTCTTATCATACTTATTGGATATCTGACATATGCACGACTCGCTTGACTTCTTATTAGTGTTCGTAACATAGTAATAGCAAATGTTTTAATTTATTCTTCCTATTTACGGTATATTTAATAAATATCTTCTCATCAGTATTTACTGTGTTTATTTATAATTGATTGTCATTCCTAAAAATGAACATAGTGATTTGTTGTCAAACCTCCTAGATTTTTTGTCGTCGACTTCGGTTTTTTCTAGGAATTGTATTTGTCTAACAATAAGTTACAGCGTGCCATAATTATATGTCACCGTATCGATATCTTCATTCTACCTGAATAGAAAATGCGAATTCCAAATATGAAAATGTTACGCACTTTTTACAAGATATCAGACGTTTTCAAAAAAGAAGTTCACAGAGAAAAAGATTCAATAGTTGTCACAATTTTGCTCAGCAGTTCTCGGCTTTTCACATCAGGTGGTTGGAATGGGAGATGTATTCTAATATGCTAATTACGATTACTCCTGCACTCAGGGGCAGTACGCCGTCAATCTCCGCTATCTGTTGGTCTTTTTCAGCATACTTTATAGTATTCACGCAATAAACTTATATTACGTGATTTGTTGTCACGGTGTGCTGTTTTTTTTCGAATTGGTCGTTCAGATGACTAGACAGTAAACATAACTACTAATTCTCTGCCCATAATGACTCAAAACGTAAGCCAATATATACTCGGTGCAGTTAATATGAGATTTGTATACATACCACAGGACAGAGTGTTGTTTTGTGAGGGTAGTCTGAAACAATTCGTGACGTCATTTGTGTGCCCAATGGCTGCTTCCGTTTATATTAATGTCGCAACACAATTTCCGTATCAACAATGTTTTTCTTTTATATCAACTATCTGTTGACATTCTATACCCCTTCACTGCTTGAACTAAATCTTCCTCAACAACACAACTATAATTTCCAGGCCCAACTGATTTAAAGTTCGGGGCACTATGGCCAGTACCTTATGGCTTGTTTTTCATTACTATTGTGACGCCACCGATTGGCTACTTGAGTTGTCAACTACTTTGCCAATGTATAACTAGAGTTATGCTAGTTGATCTCTTTAATCATGTCCTATTATTCATGCTACTTATTTCGACAAATATAACACCATGTAAGTGATATATATGTTCACGACCATCCTCTCTTTTCATATGAAAATGACATGTGACAGTTTCCAGACAGTCTTAAAAAGGACCGAGTCCTCCCATTCTATAAAAAAGAAGATACTAATCTGGGGAACTTTCGACCAATCTCTATCCTACCAATCATTAGTAAAATTATAGTCAAAATGTAAATAAATGCCTGATGAATTGCTTACAAAAATATAATATACTGTACAAACACCAATATGGCTTTCGAGAAAAATATAGCTGCATACTTTCACTCATTAGCTTAATTCAATATTTGCTATTTGAACTGGATAATGCCACAATTAAAATGTTTATAGATTTTTCGCAAGCATTCGGTACAGTGAACCACAGTATCTTAATTGCAAAACTTGAACATTATGGTATATGGGGGTTTGGCTTGTCCTGGTTTAAAAATGATCTGACAGCAAGAAATCAGTATGTTTGTATTTATACCACTAAATCCCAAACCCCAAGGTTCCATTTTAGGACCCATACTATTTTTGTTATTTATAAATGACATCCCACAATCCACTGATCATTTTAACTTCAGATTATATGCTGACGACTCCAATATTTTCCACACGGTTCAAAACAAATCTAACCAAATTAACATAAACGCTCTGAATTTCAAAAGGTGGTAATGTGGTGTGATGCAAACAAACTTACTATTGATTCCGATAAAACAAATTACATGTCTATTGCCAATACACATAAAAAATCAAAACTGAGGGTGAATTCAATCTTGAAGGTGACCAATTAAGTGAAACCTGTAGTATTAATTACATTGGAATTACTATGGATAAACATCTGACATGGGAAAATCATATATCACTAGTAAAGAAAAAAATCAGTAAATTAGCAGGTATATTTTATAAGCTCAGATTTTTAGTTCCGCGATCAGTATTAATATTGTTATACAACACATTTATTCTTTCTCACATTTCTTATGCATTAGAGGTTTGGGGAAATACATATCATTGTCACCTGCAAAACATTGTACGTATACAAAAGCGCATTGTTCGCATTATCCCTTCAAAAATTACAATACACCCTCAGCACCTTTGTTTAAACAATTAGGTATTTTAGGTATTTATATACAACATTCTCTACAAATTGGAACCTTAGTGCATGATGCAATTTATGATAAATTACCACCAATGTTCCACAACTAGTTCCCGCAGATTGAACGTAAGTATAACACAAGACAAAACTACATATGTATTTTTTCCCTTCCCATAGTTAAGAAAAGATGTGGTAAATTTTCTATTAAATACATTGGCCCGTAAATAAGGAATGAAATTCCGACTCGTATTAGATCTATACAGTCAAGAAACATATTTAAAAATGAATACAAAAAATATCGTTTGCATACATAGTTAACTCAGTGTTTTCTTGTACATAAACATGTATATACATATTTATATTTTTTTGGCTATTTCATTGACAAGCCTTATTAATTATTATGCTTCTATATTTAAGAATGTGGAAAC